AAGAACTGATCTCTGACAGGTTTCCGTGGAGGGGCATATGTTGTTTGCATTATTGGGGCAAAGCCTTTGGAGCAAAAAGATTGCCTGAGCTACAGACATGCTTAGAAAGAATAAAATATAAAAACATAATAAGAGGGCATTCTGGAAGTGAGGGTGCAAGTCACTTCGCCTCTTAGACTCTAATATCAGGCTCTTACATTCCATACCAAGTCTGCTACTGTGATTATTATTTCTAGGTCTTGTCCCCATTGAGTCACCAAGTAATGAATCAGAATAATGAAATAATTATTATATATTTTACAGCGTAAGGACTCATTTTACAGGGTCTTATGGGCCACGTCCTTGGTGTGTCAATGAAGCTGCATAAGTGAATGAGAATCCGCCCAGTAACAGACAGTGACCTGCAGAATTGGCCCTCATTATTTCAGAGTTGTGCTTGTCTCTTGATCAAGACTGCAATCACTGCAGCTGTTCAGAGTTCGGTCCAGGAGCCATTAGTGGCCAGTGAAGAACTTCTAAGTATGGGCTGCAACTTATGATTATTTCTATTCTTTTTCTGATTAATCAACTAACAATTACGTTTCTGTTTTAGTAAGAAATAAATGTAAATAATGACAAGAAACTTGTATTTGAGAAGTAATTATTGAAATATTTTATGATTTTGTTTACATTACTGTTATGTTTATTTTTCTCAGCTGAAATGTTTGCTGAATGAAAATTCTGATTGAATAAGAAATTATAAAGAATTAAAAGAAACCGTTAATTATACAGCAAAGCCTCAAAACAGTTCATAAAATAAATGGAAAAAAATTGGCTTTAATAAAAAAATTGTGCTTTAATAATCACTATGCTCATGGTTTGCATGAACGAGTTGCACGCTTTTTCAGTTTAATTGCATGTTCATCTTCATCATCCTGAAAGGATCCCAAAATACATCATGCAGTGCACTACTTTTATCCTCCCGGGATGACCGGACTGTCTTAGTTTTCATTCATTTCAGTGAACTGCTACCTCAGTATGCCATTTATTTTAATACATTGTACTTAACATCACTGAAATGTTCCTTTATTCCATGATACGTTCTGTTTTCCAATGTGTGGCCTAGCATTACCTTAACTGGGCTGACACTGGCCACTTAGGCTAGTTACCAACTTACCAACTATCAACAGAAAATGTGTTGGACCTGCTTCAGTTTTGTTTAGTATTGTTTGTGCATCGTCGTCGTGTTGTTGAGAAATGCCATTTCCGCTTTTATATAGTCACATGCAAAAGTTTGAACACTCTTTTCAAACTACGTTTTATTGATTTTCTAAGTGAAAACAAGTACATATCCTATACAGAGAAAACACTTTATTATGGTGTGTAATATGATATAAAGTTTAGTGCGCAATTTCTATTTATTTACTGAGTTTAACATATTAGAAAAAATAAAACATAAAATATAATATGTGCATATGACTCCATCGAGCTCTGTAGAGTGCTGTGACTTTTGTGGATATTGCTTTCTTGAGTTTATCTCCATTTATGGTGCTATTGTTTAAAGTTCTGTCTGTACCACAATTTGTTCTTATTATAGCACAAAATGACATAAGCCATATTGTTTCATGTCTGTAGAGTGTATCAAAATCTGTCAGAATTAGCATGCATATTAGCATTATTTGGCACTTTTTTTAAAGGAAAAAAACATGTTGATAAAATGATTTTTTGTAATCGATGTAGTGAATTTATTTAACTAGTTGTTACAGCCTCACATCTAAACAAAGCCACCAAACATCTGAACAGTAACTCATACATTTTCTCAGCCAGAACTCACAAATGTTCTCTGTAATGGGCTCATAATACAGCTTCATTCTAGGTCTAAGAAAACAAAGAGTTATTGCTTTGAATACAGCTTTGCATTGCCTTATATGTTCTTATCATGTAGCACACAGGAAACCTGCATTATTTTGTTCTTCTTATTGTCTTTTTAGTTACATTTTGGATACGGCTTGTTTGCTACTTTAATTTAATATTAATAATTTCTCTGTGTCATTATTATTTTTCCATACCAATCACATTAAAATTGATGTTTGTGTTGTACAAAAGCATAGTGTAGCCCCTTCCTATTAACTGACCAACCAAGAAAAAAATAAAGATCTTATCTAAACAGTGACTCTTTTATTAAAAAAAAAGAAAAAAAGAAAAAAAAACACAAAAAAAAACAAACAACTGTTAACTCAGCCCAATTACACTCACGTTGGCCCAATTACACAATTTCTCACACACACATACATACACACTTAGTGTCAACACTATGAAGAAGCACTTACATTTTCAAAACACATCTTAATTAAGTGTAGGATCTGAGTTGACAGCAAAACACCCTCACACTTCTGCCCAATTTGTAAAAATGTGGATTTAAATACAAAAGTGCCTGAATACATCCGTCTTCCAGGATAGAGCTGAAAATGAGTGTGACAACAACAACAAACAACTAAACTGTTGGTAGGCTGAGAAAGTGGAAGTAATCTACTATTTATATTGATTTTAAAAAGACAACAACAACCTGAATTTTAAAAACATTACAAAGTAATTATCCACAATTGACAATGTCTGAACTAACACTTAGCAGACAGTACCAGTTAAGTAGAGCACACCTACATAAGACCAAGCTCTCATGACTGTTTACGCTCTCAACCACAAACTTCAATATAATCACTTCATTTTTTCTTTCACTGAATGGTGTGGGCTTTTTAGGCTATGCAAGCAGAAACTTTCTGAAAAGTAAACAAAACAGTCAGTGAAAAAAGTAGATTTCAGTCTGAGGCCATTATGGAGTCTGGAAAGATGTCATGTAATGGAATTGATCAACTAATTAACCAAATGTATCTATGTAAGTAAGGTCTATTATTAAGGTAAAGGCTATTTTGAGGAACACAGAATGTAGAGATCATGTTCACTTTTACTGAACATTGCTTTGGTGCTCAGGTTTCATTTGTGCTGTAAAATATTTACACAAAAGTCAGAGACCACCCTTCATTTATTTAAATTCCAGTCAAAACAGTCTTTAAGTACAGGGTATTCACTGTCAGGAGATACTTCTGATGAGATTAGATAAAAAATAATCCACTTGCATAGGGAAGGTAAAGTCAAAGAAAATAAGTGAAAAAAACTTTGCAAATATGCAGCTCAAATTAATAAAACTACTAACAACCGTGCAAGACCTGGTAGACCATCGAAACTACCACCATCAGATTAACAGTCTTTCATCTTTGAAAGAGAGGAGAAAATCAAACTCCACTCTTGCTTCAGATCTGAAAAATTCACAGGTGTTTCTGTCCATCCTTCCATTGTGAGAAAACAACTCAAGGCTATGGGTCTGAAAAAATGTGTAGCTGTCAAGAAACTGTTACTGAAAAATGAAAACAGACAAAAAGAACATTTTTGCACTAAAAGACTGAAACTGGACATCTGAAATGTGGAGTAATGATGAGTTTAAATTTGTAATTGGGATTACTTGGATTGTAAAAAGCCAACTTCCAACCAACATCCAAGCTCCAATCAACTTCTAAGACTGAACTTTGGAGGTGTGGAAAAATATCCCCGCAGGTTTCTCTGAAAAACTGAAAGCAAGCTATAAAAAAGGTGGTCAAGCTAAATCCTGAAAGAAATTGTTCTATTTATTTATTTAGCTTCTGTGATTTTCTGTTAAATGTCTTTTTCCTAAAGCTGAAAAATGATTTTCCTTAAAAATTAACACTTTTCCCTAATGCTGTTTTGACTGGAAATTACATAAACAAGGGGTGGTCTCTGACTTTGCACAGTAAAAGTCAAACTGTATATTTGAAACCATTCACACAAACAGTGTAAAACACTGTCCATCAGGAACAAAATTAGTTACTGTAAAATGATACCTTGGTAAGTAAAAGTATCATAAATGTGAGCAAAAAATCTAGTCTCATAAAAGATTACTATAAAATTATCGATAGATATTTTACTTCTTTTAAGTAATTTTCTCAAGTGAAATACTTGCTGCACTTATGGATATCTTTACTTACTTCAAGTTATCTGCCAGCGCAGCAAGATAATTACATTTCATAAGACCTAAGTAACAATAAAAATATGTTCATGCTTTCAATTTTCAGTGTAATTTTTGCAGTGTGTGCACTGAAACTTTGGACAAGTAGCCTGGTGCTGCTTTTTAAGATCCTTCCACTCCCCAATGAACCAAGCTATGGAAACCCCATGGACACCAATGAGTCCATTCTTTCCAATAGCTCCACTGCCTGAGCAGAGCTGTAGAGCCACTTCCCACTGCGCTATAATTCTCAAAACAAAAGACCCTCAGAAAAGAAAAACCCCTTTGTTACGATTATTATAATTCATAAACAAATCTTGAAAAATGCTTAAAGCAATTTACATTAATATTTCACCACTTTGAATAAGCACAAATAAATGCTTGATCATGAGCAAACAAAAGTGCTGATGAGGAGAACTAATTATGCAGGCATAATTCTACGCCACGTTATTAATTACAGAGACATGACCTGGGAGCACAGTTCGTACACACACAGAGAAGGAGAGGGAGCTTCAGGAGTTTTAGAAGCACAACTTAAATGCTGCATGGGTAATTGTGCTTAAAATGATAGTGGAATACAAAACTGGAAAGCAAGCGCATCTTACAACAGCAGCATTCGGTATACCAAAAAGGTCTATCAGGTTTCTAACAGAACCTTCTGAAGAACCAAGAAGAACCTTCTAAAGTGTGTCTAGGAATTAGGGACCAAAGCCTTCTAATCAATAGAGTAACTTCTTAAGTTATCTGCTTTTAGATTTTTATTCTAACTCCATTCTAGGTGTCCTGTAGTTCTCACTTCACTTACTTATGGAAATCATCTACAGCTCTATTCATATTCTGGACACTAAAAAGGACACACCATCTTCCTAATATTGAAAATAGTGAGTCTAAACGTTTCAGGGGTAGCATTTGTCTACAGCAGTATGAAGCACTTAGTTCCCACCTGGAGTAGTGGAACAGTCGGCTGTCCCAGAGGGGGTGTTCACCGCGCTGCCCACCGTGGAAGAAGCACGAGTCGGAGCCATCGAACCGGTTCAGGCCATCCTCAGTGTTTTTGGATGCGTGGCTGTGGACCACGTCCAACAGTACTATGATACCCATAGAGTGAGCCACGTCAATCAGCTCCTTCAGCTCATCCGGAGTGCCATATCGACTAGTGGAAAAGAGGAAGAAAGACAGACATCAAATGTGCAATATGTATACAAGGCTATTAGTTGTAATAGGAACATGCAATAAGCAAATCTAGATTTCCATTGAAAAGTTTGAAATCATCGTTTTTATTCATATAAAATCGTTTTTTTGCAGATACATGCATTGCATGATTCTGATATGATGGTAATACTCTCTAACACTTCCAATACTTTCCGACGTGCCAACTGGTTTTAAAGAATTTACTATGCCAGTTATTTAAAAAATATGCAAAATAACATTTCAAAAATAACCAAAATCAGCCATAAAAATTTATGATCACTACATCCGTACTATAAATAGATACTTGCAAATGTAATATTTAACATTTAGTACTTTGTTGTTATTCCCAAACATTTGAAGTATTGAATAACGAGGTTATTAAAAACCATTTCTGATGTCTAGTTCGTAACTTTCATTCTATACTGTATAAATTATTACTGAGTAAAATAAAACAACAATTGTTAATTATTAGAGACGAGATTCCAAACTTTTTAAATTTAATGCAAATTAAATTTGTGGGGAAACAGCCATAAATGCCCTTGTCTTTAGCATAGCACCCATGACACTGTTGAGGCTATGGAGAGCCTACAGGTGCTTGAATGCCCCACACATGTCCGTGTATGGGGTTTGTGTGTGTGTGTTGTTTTTCATCTCACGCTGTATTCACTTTGCATTTCAGAAAGCCCATTTAAAAAACGGCGGCAATAAAAATCAAATCAGTGGCAGGATTGTATACAATGACACCGTATGGAGGTCACATTTTATATTCGGGCGCACGTCCGGCAGGACGATGCTCTTTGTGGAACAAAGGGCAAGAGGGAGTGTGTTTTCATCAACACTTCCTTATGTATCCCGCTCGTGTAATTGCTCCATGAAGGCTTAACTGTCCTTTGGGCTATCATCACATCACTCCTCCCCACCCCTGTACCCCCACCACCCTCCCCTGCCAGCAAAGCACAGCGCACAGTGACAACATTGCCCTCGCTTACCGGCATCCAGCCGCTGCACTTTTAAATGGCCATGAGAGATCAATCATGGGTGAAATTACTCTGTATATATTACACTCCGGCTCCAGGCTCTCTCCACCAGGCGGCTAGCTAAGACGACCGGTGGAATCAAGAGCATAAATGAAGCATCCCTGCCCAGTCTTCCTTTATCTAAGACCTGCGCCGCTCCCCAGGATTAACGCCAAATGTGTTTACAGGGAGATTATCGAGTCCCGTCAGAGTCTCCTCACTTCCATTTAGAGCTGCGACTGTAGAATGTGTCTCTCCGGGCCTAGGTTACACCTCATACAGGAATTATATTTATGATTATCGATTTATGCATAAAGGGACTGCAAAGTAACAAGTGAATATGGAAACTCTATTATAGCTGTGTTGGTGTTTTGACATTGGCAATATAAGTCAAACGAAGAGCAAGAAGCAGTTTTACACACAAGTCTTTTGGTCACTTGATTAAGCACTTCTGGCCTTCATAAAAATGAACACATACTCTCAGCGCAAGTCTAGTCAACCATTTTAGGACACAGGCACATATATGCCAAATGTGTCTCTAAGACATTTTCTTTGTATGACAGGTTATCTTGGGACATCCACTGCAGTACAATAAACCACTAAACAATGCAACAATTACTATGACTTTCAGAATAACACATCGTTACTGTCCAAAAAAGCATCTCAGAAACAGTAACTTTGCAGCACAAAGCAAATACATTGATTTATGTTAAAATGTAAATGTGTTTTTTTTTTCCTTTTCATAAAAACTTCACACAAAGTAAATGATAAATCGTTTGTTCAAATGATGCAGACAAAAAAGGAGACACTTGTTTTTTATTGCACAGCAATGACATGGTGATTGTTAAAACAACCCAAATGTGATTATTTTATTAAATTACCAAACAGTTTTACCTGGATGCTGCGAAGAAACTTGTAACTTGGTAACCAAAGCTAGCATAATAGGCATGTTCCATGACGGCCATCAGCTGAATACAGTTGTAGCCTGTGTAAAAGAAAATAAAAGAGGGGAAAACATGTTAAACAGGAGACTGTGTGGCATGCACTGAACAGCCAGTTTCTAAGGTCCACATACTTCGTATCCACACTCATTGATCATTTTATCAGGTACCCCTACCTTAAAGATGCACTTTGTTGGGTTATAATTAGTGACTGTAGCCTCTGTTGGCGTGCAATTTATCAGATCCCCTTTACCCTATACATTAAAAGGAAAGGACCACCGCTGAGATATTATTTGGGTGTTGGACCATTCTCAACTCAGCAGTGACACCAACACCAGCAATGAGTGTATCACGCACAGAAGTGTTGCTGGAGTTTTTAAGCAGTGACACCGCTGGATTGAGAAGATTCTACTCCCAGAAATATCCAGCCAACAGCATGGATGCAGAATGTGGGGGTCCTGAGGAGGCTGCAGCACAGATTTATTTAGAAATAATTTAAAAAAATAAAATAACTGAACTAAGATACATTAAGTGTAGTAAAGACTTACAGATGTACAAAAAGGTTTGAACACCCCTGGTTAAAATGCATGTTTTGTTGAATGTTTCTAAAGCAAAAATATATTAACATCCTTTACAGGGAATAAATTTAAATATGGCATTTTTTCTGCTAATTTTAGTGCACGATTTCTGTTTGTGATCTTTAATTCCCCACCCCCATATGCTAAATTCAGAAAATAAACAACAGTTGTGCACTAAAATGTGCAGTGTGTTAACATGCAATTTGACCAGGGGCGCCTAAATTTCTGCATACAACTGTATGTGTGCTTGATTTTGGGTGAAGTTTGTATTTTGTGTATTATTTATATACTTTCAAAATGCGCAGTAATCAAGCACTATTTAAGTGGGTCTCTCTATAGGCCACAATTATATCCCCAGCTCAGTGTGCGTCCAAGTGTCCTCAACCACTGACCACTGCTGAAGAACTAGAGAATGACTAACACCGATACCTGCAAGTTGTATCAACAAAGTAATACAGAGACCAGTGGGAGTATACAGTGTTTAAAAAGTCACAGCAGCAATTACGCTACTACTGATGTTACTGCAGTGCTGTGAACAGTCCAGCCAAATAATATGTGGTCAGCGGTAGTGCTATGGCGGTCCATTTCCACTGACAGATGGAGCAGAGTATGGCTAATAAAACTGTGCAACAAGAGATGGGCTACAAACAATAACTGTAAACCTACAAAGAGCATCTATAGTAGGTGTACCTGATAAAATGGCCAATGACTGAACAAACTCAATTCCAAAAACAGTTGGTAAACAGGGAGGTGAAATGATAACAAAACAGAATTATATTAAATTGAAAACAGTTCAAAAATAAAGCATTTGATGATTTACATCACAAATGTTATTGTTTTGTTGTATAGAAAGTATAGAAGGTTTTTAAGTACACAAAGCTTGAAACATGTCCCAAAAAAGTTGGGACAGGAGCAAGTTTACCACTGTGTTACATCACCTTTCCTTTTAACAACACTTATTAATCGTTCGTGGACTGAAGACACAAATTGATCCAGTTTTAAAAGTGGAATTTTTTGCCATTCATCTGCCATACAAGTTTTCAACTGCACAACCGTATGTGGCATGCAGAAAGTGGCTTGGTGTTGTCATGTTTAAGTAAACATGGACATCTGAAAAACGTCGTCCAGAAGACAGAATATGATGCTCCAAAATGCATCCAGTGTTAATGGTGCCTGCACAGATGTGCAAGTTACCCAGTAATATCCCCCTAAACCACAACAGACCCTGGTTTTTGACCTTAACACTGGTAAGAACCTTGAAGGTCCCTTTTTTTGGCCCAGTGAACACAACATCCATGTTTTCCATTAACAATCTGTGGTTGTTCTTACTCTTAAATTGCTCCGTCCTAACTTACCTAACCTACCTAGCTCCTAACCTACGAACATTTTTCAGAGCATATATTTACAAAAGGCAATAAGTTGGTGAGGTAAAACACTGCATGTCTTGTCTTTGCGTATCGGTTTTCATCCAAACACAGGTTAAAGTAGATTTATGAATCACTGTTTCTTTTTTTTTTTGCATTTAACCTACTCTCCCAACTTTTTTGTAACTGGGTTTGTAGATACAAGGTAGATGTACCTAAACTGGCAGCTTGTGGGAATGTTTCTTCAGAAAGATTCTGCACTTCTTGAGGAGGTGATTCATGATGCAGCAATTACATTTTATTAAAAACAAAAACATCAAGCATTTGAGAGTAATGTTTGGAGGCTGCCTGAAAGTAGACACACCACTTTGCTGACATCACGTTTGCATTTCTGATCCCCACAAGCAGCTCAGGCTACTCGTTCCTCCCTTCTCTTTCACAACAAACATCCAGCAACCGCATCATCCTCGCGCAACCCCGACAAACCGCTGTCCCTGTTCAAACCTTTCCACACTTGACAGGTGAGCCTTAAGAAAAAAAAGAGGCCAGAGCTCTTCTGCTGTTGCCACGAGCCCCAGCATCCTGTAGACAGGCTGCGGCCGTTGGGACGCATGCAAGGGATGACTCACCAGGTCAGAAACATGCGTGCTCTGAGGCCGCGTGCTGACAGGCCTTTGAAAGAGCGCGGGAAGCAGAGGCGCTCTGAGGGAGCGCACACTGCCTTGGATTGTTGTTTTTCGGAGAAGAGAGTGGTTTACTTATTTATTTATTTAGGGAGCTTCTTCACTGCTTCAGAGAAAGTTTGGAGGTTTTTTCTTTTTTTGATGAGGTGTGACAGCGAAGTGGGCTCTGAGGATGCTTCGCTCGGCTCACAGACGTACGAAAGCATGTGCACACGCACGCGTTCACACAGTTTCTTTCCCTCTCTCTCTCTCTCTCTCTCTCTCTCTCTCTCTCTCTGTGTGTGTGCCTTGCATTCTTTGTGAGGACTTCCATTTTTTCCATTGATTTTTATATTACTGTAGCCAAATAATACTACACTGACACCTAAACCTAACCTTAACCTCAGTATCCAAAAAGCTTTTCTGCTCTTTTATTACCTCCAAAAAAAATTTAATTTGTAGTGGAAACAACACATGTTCAAGTGATGACCAGCAAAAAAATCCTCACTTGAGCAAAAAATGTCAAAAAGGACATCCTCACAAGGATGGCAAGATGTGTACACACGCACACTCAAACACACAATGAAGCACAGTCATCTTCTGCAGTCTGTCAAAAAAGTCTTAGAAAACCAGTCTGGAGAGAACCGCCATTACAGTAAGCACTACGGACGTAAATCTATGACCTTCCAAGCATTCATTTAGTATTCTTTATCGACTCTTTAGGAATCAAATCATCATGATTCGATTCTTTTAATACAATCCACAACCATTTTTAAAAACACACTGAATACACACATGACTAAACAAACTATACAGTACACAGAACATCAACTTATGCAAAGACAGTTTATGAACATTTGGGGGCCCTAAACTACATCCTATTCAGGGGCTCACCTCAATCAATGCTTCACTAATCTTCTATCAGGAAAAATAAGTTTACAATGAAACAAGCACCCTTTCACTTGTTTAGTTTACAGTCAAAACGACCATTAAAACACAAGTTGTTCATTTTTCAGCATCAGGAAAAAAACAGACAATCACATCACACAGTAGCCTTAAATACCAGTTTTTTTTTTGCCAGTGTACACCCTTTGCCTATATTACAGCCTCCGTCTACAAGAAATGTAATATATAAAATAAAAATAAAATGAATACATATTATATCATTTTGGGGCCTCCAGATACTTTGAGCCCTCTGCAACTATAACATTTAGCAAAAAAACAGCTCTGGCCTTCAACCAAGCTTTTTTTTGTTTTTTACGTTTGAAAATAGCTCAAGAATTCTATTTTGGCCAGAAAATAGGCCCATATGTCTACTTTATTAAATATTATTGTAACTAATTATAATCAATTCTAATATTTCAAAATCTATGCAGAATTGCCACATTCATAGTGATGCATAATGATGCATCCATGCATTTTCACAGCCCCAGTAAGCACCAGATTCAAGTTTTATCATCAGATCTTTTCTTCTAAATGATTTACACAGACCAACTACTAAGCATGAGCAAAGACATGACGTGGTCACTCTACAGTCATATTTCTATTTTAGCATCTTTAAGCGATGGGCTTCTGTTTAAGGCGCAGTGTGATGGAACACTACCTTTGATGTGACAGTTCCTCACTCTGCAGAGTCTCAAAGGTGCTCTTTCACTAAGACTGAGGTTTAAATAAACGCTTTCTAAAGTCAGCAACCTCTCACTAGAGACACAGCACAAACAATTAAGACATAAAAAGGCCTAAAATTCAAATAATTGTGTCCCTTCTGAAAACCATTCAAAGGATGAATTAGACTCAAACAGAAGTGCTCACACTTTCATAAAATATTGTACTTTTTCTCAAATGAGCAAAAGAATAATTTTCAAGAGTTTCAGTTTTTACCATATCTATGTTAACTAGGGGTGTAAAAATAGATCCGCACATCATGATTCAGGTCTGTTTGTGTCTTAATTGTTTGTGCTGCGTCTCTAGTGTGAGGTTGCTGACTTTAGAAAGTGTTTATTTAAACCTCAGTCTGTGTGAAAGAGCGCCTTTGAGACTCTGCAGTGAGAAGAACTGTCACATCAAAGGTAGTGCTCCATTACTAGGCCTGTCACGATCATGAAATTTGAGCTGACGATTAACTGCCATATAAATAACTGTGATTAACAGCTTGTCTTTTTTCTTCATCGTATGCAACTATTAACCTTTTTTCCACATTAGCCATGAAATGCAACTTCTGCCACTTTTGGAGGTCCCTCAGTTGAACTATGTATGTTTTTTTCTTTCAAATCACATTGATGATACATATTTCAATGGAAATGTATGATTTGCACCAGGCGTTCGCAAACTTTTGCAACTCGCAGCCCACACAACTGACCACCAACACTTTTGCAGACTACAAGAAGATTTAATCAGCCCGACTAATTCAGATGCAAGCAAATATAGCACAATAATCAATGTAGCCAACAGAACTTCACCCGACACAATCACCTAACAAAATAAATACCAAAATGAAACCCTTAGTAATTTCTGATTGTAGCCTTTTATCCATGATGGATGAATTCTGTCCAATCAAAAAAGAGAATTGTTTTACATTGACTTGCACTGAAAATATAAAAATATCTACTTAGACATATGCAGGTCTTATTCTGGCAGCTAATTATCACAACATTAATACTCATCATATTTAAACTTATTGGTTTGCTTAAATGTCTATATCTTGTAATGAAGGTTTGCAAATAGCAGTACCACCATCGCCAATTATCTATCTTGCTTCTTAGCTGAAGAAACTTAGTAGTTCCCAACTGATGACAGACACAGCTCAAACTCAAACATCACTCACTGCTGACTTCTACAAGTGTTATAGCAACAAGTTAGAAGTTAGTTAGTGCTTTTGTTTTCCTGACATGTCATTTCACTGATTTATTTTACATGTACTCTTAAGCAGGAGCCCATCGCTTGAAGATAATACTTTAGGAATATAAGTGTTTTTTGTTTGTTAGAATCTCATCCTTTTTATTAAATCTTATTTAGTAAATTGATAGAAGGGTATGTACAGAAAACAGGGATGGATGGACCAGCGGGATGGGGAGGAATGGGGAGGGAAAGGGGGTTGTTTTGATTTCCTTCAGTTCTGTATTAGTGTGATAGGAGCTGCTTGATTAACAAAAAAAAAAAAGAAAAAACAATTGATCACAAAAAAAAGAAATATAAGTGAAGAGTGACCAGATTATATATTATGTACTAAATAGCTTACAAGTTAAATAGTTTAAGGGGCCAAACCCAGTGAAAAACTTTATTCAAATGATAACATAACTCAAAGTTTTCATTTTTTAAATCAAAATATTTACAGGCTATTTTCAAACAATATGCTTCTCTGCTCTGTAATGGTTCCCCCAACCATATTTACATACAGTATAGTGTATGTCAGAGACCATCACTCATTTATTTCACTTATGGTTCAAGCAGCTATTAAGTGTAAGTTATTCTTTTTTCAGAACGCATTTCTGAAAAGGCTTGTGAGAAAATTATATATGAAATATCCCTTGCAGGAGAAAAGGGGAAAGTCAAAGAAAGGAAAATAACTGACAAAATGAAGTTCCCAGAAATGGAGCTCAAAAAATTATTAAAAGATACAAAGAAATTGGGACCATGAAAGACCAGACAGAGCACCAAAACTTTTACCACTTTCATCTTTGAGAGTAAGAAAGAAAATCAAGCTCTACTCTTGCTTCAGATCTCTGTTTCTGTCCATCCTTCCACTGTGATAAGACAACTTAATGCTATGGGTCTCAAAAGATGTGTAGCTGAAAAAAAGCCCTCACTGAGAAAAGGAAAAAATAAGTAAATTTGCAAATCAAATGAATTCGCAAAAAAGGAACTTCTAAGACTGAACTTTGGAGAGAAATATCCCCACAGATTTCTGCACAAACTGAACAATAAATAATACATTCAGTTGTTGAGGTTCTGTGTAATTTGCTGTTAAATACAGATTTTCTCATTTTGATGCTAAAAAATGAATAACTTGTACTTAATGGTCAATTTGACTGGAAATTAAATAAATGAAGTATGGTCTCTGACTTTTGCACAGTACTGAATATACAGATAACGTCGATATTTCATGATGAGTGTTTACACCCATAACATTAACAAATGGGCAAAAACAGCAAAACAGAACCCTTCACTGAAACTATTAAACAGAGGATTAAAAATTTGCACTTTATCTGCCAAACCACCACAGCACCCCCTCAGACCTTTCTCCTGCAGTGGATATGTGCTTGTGAGCAGTCATAGCTCTCTCGCTCACCCTTTCTCACTTGCTCGCATACACAAACAAATCTACACGCGAGCTCAAACACACAGAAGAGACACTAATGACCACTTTACATGCCAGCGGCAGGCTGGAAACAGGGGTTTGACCTGCAGAAGGGCCTGCAGAAGAGGCTGAGCATAGACAGAGCTGAGAGAGCTCACTGTGCACAGCTCCTCCACGCTTCTAATGCAGGTGACAGCGGCTCATCCTCCGCACGTCAGGGTTGCCAGGTTAAGCACCGCTGCCACTCAGGGCCTGGCTGATGGAGGAACACTGGCAGATGGAAAACAACCTTTCTTGGCATTGAGTTGGGTGGGGAAAAAAGAATTTTTTAAACTAACAAGGAATGCAAAAGTAGAAAAAAAAAAGACTTCAGAGTTTTCTGACTTGACAGTTTTCACCTCATCTTTTGAGGGGGTGTGGAGCATACCAAGCACACTGTATGAATAAAAATGCAACACAGATTCCCTCACAAAGAAACAGAGCAAAAGAAATGTTATCACCAACCAAACACCAATATATTCCTTTAACCCTTAGAGGCTGAGAGGTATTACTTGCAGTGCTATAATATGCAATTACATATTTGATTACATACCGAATTACAATTACGTTTGATCTTTTTGCAAGCTTCTCCTCAGTACTTTGGACTTTGTTTCAATGTAAAGCAGAGATAAACATGGCAAAAGGATGGTTTTCTTTCTGGTAAAACAAGACTGTACTCACATCAGTTATTTTTCCTGAAATTCAAATCGCAATAAAAGATCTTGACAAATGTGGTATCAGTTGAAAGTTTAGAATAAGCGCTTCCAATAAAATTTCTTTACCTCTTTTAATGAGTGAGAGGGGAGTAATATGGAATTACGGCCGGCAATAACCGCACCTCCTAAGAGTTGAGTTTAAATTAACAGTGTGTCAAATTTGCTACTATAATTAAATGTTAGTTAATTCCTTAAAAAGTAACTTATTAATAAATGAGTCTTTATTAGTCTTTTTATTCAGCAACTGAAATAAATTATTTAATAGCTACTATAAAACCAATATGTTAGCAATGTGCTGAGAGTGAGGAATTGTACTGTGTGCCCTCACACAGGCCCACAAGCACAAGAATATAAACCCACAGCCAATTGTAATCAGTCTTAACTAAGAAATATCTCACCGAGGTCTTTAATTCGAGGCAGGACATTGTGTGTGAAGTTGCTGTAAGATGCAACTTTGCCCTCTGGTGATGCGATGCCAACGTGAGACTCGTAGATCCGTAAGCTGCGGGGCTTCCGTGGCCGAGGATGCTTGTGCTGAAACACAGGAACAAGAAGACACTCCCTCATTCCTCAAATAAATACTGTATCATGCAGCTTCCATGCTGCAGCTCAGAGGAATAACATAAACCTCTGAGGCCAGGGATGCTCAAACTGGGCTTAAATAACACATTAGTCGAGCATATAAACTAGTGTTGCAATGATGTGTGTGTGTGTGTGTGGGTGTGTGTGTGTGTGTGTGTGTGTGTATATAAAAAAGGATGAAAAGTTTTGGCTTGTGATAGGAAATGAAGTGTCAAAATGTAGAAAACACTCTTTGTGTCCTTCCCTCTCCTGCACAGGGCAGCACAGATGCATTCAAACAGTCTGAGCATCAGCAGATCAAAAGTGAAAACACAAACAGTGCCCACTGCAGCTAGCTTTTATCAGTAAAAACAAATGGCATCTGCATCTTTTCATTTTAGAGTTGAAATTTGTGAACTAAAGATGACTCACTGCAATTTAAAGTAATACTTCAGCATTATTAATTAACTATAAAAACAGACAAAAGCTTGTTGTACAGACAAACACAGCAGTAACAGCAGCCAACCTGATGCCTGAACCTTTTTGTTTCACTTTTGTACATTTTTATAGATAACAGTGCATCATGTAGCATCAGGAACTACATAAGCAAGTCCATATGAAACCCCATTTGAATGTATTTAAGTTTGCATGATGCTAGCTGCTGACTAAGCGTCCATCACTTATTAACTACATTACAATCACAGCTCCAGTGCAAAACCAAAGAGCCAAACATGGCCTGGCTGATTAACTACTATTAACTGGGATAAGGGGGAAATAGTATAAATGTATTTTTTTGGCCAAATTATTGCTTTAAGAACTGCAGCGCATTCAGCACCAGCAGGATTACTTACCACATAAGGCTGAGGAGGGTCCCAGAATACCCAGTCATACACCACAGAAGTTTTAACCTTGGTCACGTATGTTGCCCAAGGAGAAATTCGGTATAACCGCTCACCTTCTTTGGTGTGAACCACCACCTAGTGAGGGAGACAAACGAGGGTGTTACAACAAGGGCAGTCAGGACAGATGCATGCAGTAGGTATGAGTGAAGGGCATTCAGCTCAAGGCTACGAGAGAAAAAGACAAAAAAAGTGTAGAGTGGGGAGAGATATTTTTTGCACACAGAGGTGGTAGCCTCATAATAGAGCTTAGTACAAAACAAATACATCTGGTTCTAATAAATCTGATTGTGAATCAATCGATCAAAGCCATTATTAAATACTCAATATATGAACTACTGGAATCACTTTGCAGATGAATAATTTGTTGTTTTATATATATATATAGATAGATAGATAGATAAAGTACTCTGCTTTGTTTGAAAACACTGATTTGAAACGTTTCTAAGGTGATTCCAAACTTTTGAGCAGTAATTTACCTGCACACATAACCTGAATTTTGGATTTATGGTTATTAAAAACCATCGTGCAGTTCATAGAACAACCTTCGACTGCTACGTTGCATGGCAACCAGAGCCTTCTGTTAAACTATACTGCCTGCTGAAGAAAGTTTTATTGTGATTTTTGGTAAAAGTAAATTAAATTGTGTATTTTGTCACTGTTTCATAAAAGCAATGTGGAAAAACCACTATAATGCACATTACAGTGTATAATGTCTCGATGGTCCTATCACTTAGTTTATCCCCTCAAAGCTCTGAATGGTGTGTATACAGCATGAAAATGACTCACTATGTCTAGGAAAATCAAGTTCTTCTGATTTGTGCATTGTGTGAATTATGTCTTAAAGTGAAAATCAACCTAATAGAACATCATACCATACCATACTACAACTTTATATTGCTTTATATCAGAAGAAAACTTTGTATCTCCAAATGGTAACTTTACAGGACAAGGAAAAAACATATTTCACTTTTAATGTAAGTCAATGGAACCAAACATTTTTTTTTAATCATTTTGTGTCATTTCTTTTGGTCCATTCATCATGAAATTTACAAATAATGTAAAGACGAACAGGCACTTTCAAATTAGGCCAAAAACTGAAAAACGATAAAAATGGAGAAAGTTTTCTTCAGATAGCAGCGATATGTTGTATTATGGTATGGCAGATAGTATACATTACATGCAATGCAGGCTTCAGTCATATGCACAAATCATTTATGTGTACGTAGTGGCAGATAAAAATCTGAAGCCCATAATACTATTTTTCTCAATCATAGCTGGCCAGACAGAGGAAGAGAGCATGCTGGTATGCGGGTGGGTGTGTGTGTAATCGGATCGCCTGGCGTTCTGACCTTTCAAGGTGAGCAGAGATTATGAATTGTATTCAAGGAAGATATTTTTTCTGACACTGCTTCATGGTCAACATTACTTGAAAGCATGAGACATCCACTAAACATATTTAAATCTCCTCAGTGTTTTTCTTCTCAGAGGAAGTGCGTTCTGACCTACACAGTAGAGGGGAGGTTGGTTAATGCAGACAAATCATTGGCTACACAGTTATTTGATCCTGGATGTACTATTGTGGGAAGTTATTTATAGCCACACTACCTTTATTTAGCTTACGCAGGAAGAACGCTATCATGTGACTTGCTTTTGAGCACCAGTGTAACAAAGATAAAGGTTGATTTTAGTCTCAAAGAGGTTAAATGTGTGCATTCACAAACACAGTAGAGCTAAACTACAGTATGGGCAAATAAATCATATATTACAAATTTTAAGACTGAAATTCGGATATTTGAAAAACAAAAAAAGAACTGAATTTACCCAGATAATCCATACTCAAATAAAGCTAATTATCACTCTAGCTTTGGAAAAGCTGCGTTTAGAAAATTACAGTTTGCAAATTGTCCCAAGTTATGGTTGCTCTGTTCATTAAACTTTCTCAGCTCAGGCCATGGGTAACATCAGTAGCACCTGTGCTAACAGAGTACAAAGGTCGGTAGCACAAAGGAAGCAACCAGAGGAGGACCTCTGAAAAGATTTTATTATACAGAAATAAATGTGCTTTATAAAATGCTCAGTGCAGACATGCATGTTCAAGAACTAGTAATATGAAAGTAGGTCAATTTAAATAGAAATGGATTCTGGAAACCATTTTACATTAATCAAACCAGGGAACTCCAAGCAAATGGGGTTTAAAACAAGAGGTTTTTATGTCTAATAAGAAGGAGGTTTGAGTGATCGAAGCTACCCCTTCTGATGAGCTAACATTATATGATGTTATATGTGCAGCTTTATGTGCTGAGGAGGATTCATCTTTTACCCTAAAGCTGTGTGTAAACTACACAACTTATAAAACCCTAACAGAGAGCATCACACACTTAATCTTGGAAAAAACAAAAAGAATGTCTTGTCTTTGTGTCATTAGACAATAAAGACAAATAAGACAAAAAGAGAGTATCAAACATCACAATTTTGGTTATGAAAAAGCACTAAAAATCCCAGAACTCACATGATACAAACAAAGCTTAACTAGACGAGACCTGATTGTGCTTTTATACACGCACAATAAGCAAAGAAGCAAACTGAGGCCAAGCATGTGGTTTAGAAATACACATATCAGAGTGAGAGCTTGAGAAATAGTTTACTACAAACCGACAGCTGAAATAAAATTGTGAAGAGCGTAACTATTTGCCTGTGTTCAACAAGCAGCTCCTCTGTTTCCGCAGTCCGCTGTGCTTAAAACCTTTTCTCTACACTCTTCTAGCTCTCTGTGTCTGTTGTCTGAATCACCCACTGAGTTATATCACTGACCAACTCATTCTACAGGACTTGAGAACGTTTTGTGTCTTAAAAAAAAACAAACGTGTAATGAATGAAAATATTAGAAAACCTCCGTTCACTCCGGAGCTCAATCTCGAAGACTCATTTTCCCGCTCACATTACTATCCTTGCTCAAGAACTGGGTCTTTAATTTATGCTCCTTTTATACTATATAAGTATAAGCATATAATCATATAAGCATGACTGCATCACCGGTTTATGATGTTTTCTGAACATCTTTACAAATGTTCCTAGTTTTAAATTGCCTTTGTCCCACTTTTTTGGAACTTTTTGCAGGTATGAGTTTAAGAATGAGTGTTTTGTTTACAACAATGTTTATGAGGTGAAATATTACATATGCTGTCTTTGCACTGTTCTTGTTCAAATACAGGTCCATTTATAAATCACTGCTTTCTGTTTTTATTTAACATTTTACCTATTGTCCCAACATTTTTTTACACTGAGGTATTTCTATGTATCATCATTTTTGTACATTTTTTTTTAATGTTTCTAGATAATTTGAAAATGCCAGCTATCATTTACAGTGTGTCAAAATTTCATGATGAACAGACCAAAAGATTGGTCTATAATTATGTAAAATAAAACCTTGTTGCATTAATTTATAGTAAAAGATAAGAGCATTTTGCCTCTCCTGTCTGTACTATGTGGCAGAGATACAGGGTTTTGTTTGGACAGCAGTGATATTAAGACTGAGATATAGCCTCTTTCATACCGAGAACACATTATCAAACGGTTAAAACTTGACCTTTTGTGACCATTTTCCACCAAAATTATTTATGTTGCCCTGATTCATCAAAACATCTGTGGCCGGTCAAGATGCTCACAGCACACAATAAAACATTCGGTAAAGTATGCATGGTGCATACCTCTGAAATATCAGTACTCTGAAGGCAGATATTGTAGCAATGATTAACAAACAATATATATTGTGCAGCCCTAACACACAAGCACACACACAGAAGCAGAGCCCAGGCATCGACTGTTATCACGGTCACATTTTCAATTTCCATCAGCCTCTCCAAACACAAGTAAAAAGAAACGGGTGTTGGTTTGTGTGCAGTCTGCTGTTCTAATCTAACTTACTTAAAGTCCCCCCTCTTCTGCGCCTACAGTCATGCACTGTCACGGCGCAGTCAGCATGGAAGCACAGATCGATGCTGGAGCATTTCTCACAGCACGAACACACCCGAAGGCGCTCTCTCTTTCTCTCTCTCAGGATGGATCATTTGATGGTGCCTTCCCTCAACTACCATAGAGAGGTAATGACTAGCCCATTGTCCCCTGCAGGTGACCCATGGAGCAGTGTCCCACTGGGACACAGTCATTAGCACCATCTCTCTGGAGGCTACGCAACCCCGTCACACTGCAGGCCTCGCACCATTTATACAATTACTGCCAAACCACTGGATGAATGAAGGGAAGCACTGCCAGACAGACTGACAGAGAGAGAGAGAGTGACAGGCGCAGACTGTGCCGCTGAAAAAAAGAAGCGCTAAAAGGAAATAATGACAAGTGGTTACGCTGCGTTGTGTAAATGCACATATGAACTGATTTAAAGGGCCTGTATCATGGAAAACCCAATTCTTTTTTCCCCACTTCTTTGAAACATGAGTTTGAAGTTGTATAAAAAATGTTAGTTTCAAAATATACCATTCATTTATAAGAAAGCTAAAGCTACAAAAACACAGCTCATTTTGATTTAATTGTCTTAGTGATGTCACACACATCTGCCTATTCAGCCAACAGCAGTTCAGCTCAACCATTCACGTTAAAATTAGAAGGAATGTTTCGTTCTGAACTGCATTTTGAATGAACAATAAAAAACAGCCAATCAGAACAGAAGACATTTATATATATATATATCGGTTTTAACCCCTTAAACTCCCAGGCTTATTACATATTAAGGCATATTAATTATTCAGTAACTACAGGGACTTCAATACAAACTGATCGAGCTATTCTTAGGTTATTGAAAGTGTGTAATAAAACTTTGGGCCTGCCAATGGGCCCCGGCTATTTAAAGGGGTTAAAGGCACAGCAGCAAAAACAGCTTGTTTGTATGAGCTACAGAGAGATGGACAAGTACAAATATTTTTGGTATTTAAACCCATACAAATGTGTGCAAAGTGGACTTCAGACAAAAACAGAAAACAGGAAAAACATAGAATATGGGGGAACAAGCAAATTATCCCATTTGATTAATGGTAACTACGGCCTACCGGCTTCATTCATTATTAGCAATATTAGCCTGCAAACAAGGTGAGTGCTTCATTAATATTAATGCAGTGCTCTAACCTTGTAGATTAAGCACATATTTGTCAGATTTTGACATCAAATCACAGACTTTTTGCAAAGGCAAAGGTGCAGAAAAAGAAGTCTTTTATTATGTAAATGACTGGAGGAAAATAGCTTCTTCATCATGATCCATGGGCCTGCAAAGGACCAGGACAGCACACTGGCTGCAGGAATATCAGAAAGCATGCAGCATTGTTCTCCTGGAGGATAATCCAGTTTGCAGCGGCCGTCCGAGCTGGGCCGAGGGGCTAACTGAGGCAGGAGCAGATGCCAGGGTCTGCATCTGCTTCTTATCACCCGCTGCCTGACCCGGGCTGACAATAGCAACCCAACAGCCAGAAGACCAGCTTACGCCTGCTGAGCTCCATCCAGCGAGAGAACCACCCTCATGTCATCCATCACACTTCAGCCACCATCACACTGTAGACTGTGTATAGTAAGTATAGTATAGCAGTATTTAAAGAAACACTTCACCCCCCCAAAAAATGCTATCAGAGCTAAGAACTGAGAAATGCTAGTAAGGCCTGAAAGATGATGCTGATGCTAATTGGTTTACATTGGGTTTCATTCATTATTAGCAGCCAACACTCTTAGAAACTTTAAAAGGTACAGATATGTCTCTCTTACCCCTGAGAAAAGTGAACGTGGTGCAAAACGTATTTAAAAGAAACATCACTGAAGCTGAAATTCCCTCACTTTTTTAAATAAAAGCAATAAAGTAATACGTACAACACTGTTAAACTTTCTAAACATACCATTCAACATGTGATGCATACGTGGAAGCTATGCTGCTTTTTGAATGAGGCACAATTCAGGGCTGCCAATCAGAACAAAGCTCATTTATTTTACCTCAGTCTTGAATTAATAACAACAGCCTATTTATTTCTAAGGGATACACATTTTTAGCATGTAACACCACACAAATATATTATGAATGAACCTCAAGGAAAAAAATAATTACATAAAAAATGTAGGATATGAGCCCTTAAAAGGGACACAATTAGATTTTAACACCACTGTTGCACATTTACATTGTTTGCACCTTGGGGGACAAACATGTACAGTACACTTTTTTTCTGACAGTGAAAGTATTGTTTATTCCCTTTAAGTAAACAATGGCTGTAGCTGTGAACCAAATTAATGCACTTTACTCCTGTTGTGTATAACATTAACTCATATGTCCAGGCCTACTCCAATAACTTCGGAAGTTTGTATTGTTTTCCATGTAGTTATTAAATAATAAGCCAAAGGATGTAATAGGCCTGGAAATTTACGGGATTACGCAAAACCATCCAAATATAGTTGTTGTCAGTTCTCACCCACTGTCTAGAATTCCCACCCACTGTCTACATCTCCCCATCACACGACAGTGCCAGTTACCAACCAAGCAAGGTTTTCTGACACTGCTGGACACATGAATGCGCTTGGTATAAGGTAATTTCCTTTCAGTTCTATATATACACGTGACATAACAGACTCATGACTGGAAAGTATCATTCTGAATAAACAGAGAAAGTGGGACTAAATCATCCTTTCCATCCTAATAATGATGTATTAATTGGGGATTGGTCTCAGATTAAAGCTTTTGTGACAACATCCACTGTAAAATACATTTAAATTAACATTGTTTTGTAACATTATTACTTTGTGTAATATTTGACTTTGTAATGTGAACTGATAACACATTGAACTGAGCTTTATGTTTAATGAGTTTAGGTTTAATGAGTTTTACCAGTGTTAAATGAGATAAACTGGTTGTGATAAAGGTAACATAAAATGTCTCATCCTTAATTGGACACACAATATAGTGTGTTAGTTATAATTTTGCACCAGTTCTTCCAGTATACTGCATCTTCCTCACATGTTAGTTTGGTCATTACAGTTATACCAGTACACCACAATAAGCGCAGATAGCACAACATACAAACAATGCAACCCGCGCTAGCATTAGCCTTTTAGCAGGATGGCAGGGCCAGAAATGTTCCAGTCACATTTTAAATGGAAATGAAAACAGCAGTAATACAGTAATAACTGTAATATTTTCCAAATTCCAGCAGTGTCTCACAGTAAGAGGTATAAGCGTATGGGATGCAAATATGAGACAAATGGTTTGAGAAATACAGGGAAGCTGAAGTTGACTTTATTTGAATATCCTGTTCCACCTTAAATGTCGAAGCAGTTTCATACAGGCACATGTACAAGAAAAAAGAGCCTTGAAGAAAAGAAAACATAAAACAACATTTGGCACAGTTTTTGCCTGGCCTGCAGCGGATGCGATACAGGTTTATCTACATATTGACATACTGTTCAGTTTTGCTTTTACTATTATGAATAATAAAAATGTTTAAGATTTACTTTGGTAAAAATGGTTAAAAATGGTTCTTATTAAAAAAAAAGATTCTGTTGAGCTACAAAAATAAGCATTGTAAGCATCTAAAATGGTTATATTTAGTCATATACACACAAAAATAGTCAGAAACTTTAATTTTACTGTGGCATCAACTTTTGGCCATACTGCCCACTACTGTGTTAGAGCATCTGTTTTGAAAATGATAAAACAGTAGTCTGCTGTCATCTCATGGATTCATGGTCACAGATGACCGAGGCATAGCAGAGAGTCAAACTTGAGTCCCAGTAATAGGAAACCACTTAGCCTCTATTCCATACTGGCCTTATAATGAGCACAGGTTAAATGTGCCTGTAACAGTGCAGCACAGAGCCTGCAAAGCTGGTTGTAGATGATGGACAATAGCCTGCTTACTTGCCCCCCTCAAACTGATGTAACTGAGGACAATACACTAATCATTACTTACCTTTAGTTTGGAATTGTGAGCAACAGCCGGCGACTTGTCTTCTTTGGGTGGTATGTGCAGCTCCCATTTTCCAAACTCTTTCTTTTTGTACGGGTGAGAGAATTTATCCCAGCCATCTACTCAAAGCAAGGAAAAACCCATGTTAATTCCAAAACAATTGCAGTGCTACTGCTCTAAAAAGTTCCAAACATTTCCCACTGAACAACATGTTCCAACAGTGAAGAAAAATCAAGTGATTTTGAATGACCTTCAAGATAATATTAAAAATACATATAACACTTTATATATTTGATTTAAGAAATGGATTTGGATACAACCCCAATTCCAAAATAGCTGGGATGCTGTGTAAAATGTAAATAAATGTTAATAAAAACAGAATGCAATGTTTTCCATTGGTAAAAGTGCTGGAATGCAGGCAGGTCAGTTCAGCACCCGGACTCTTCTTCTGCGAAGCCATGCTGTTGTGATGCATACATTATGTGGTTTAGCATTGAGTTGCTGAAATATGCCAGGCCTTCCTTGAAAGAGACGTTGTCTGGATGGGAGCATATGTTGTTCTAAAACCTCTATATACCGTTCAGCATTGATGGTGCCTTTCCAGATGTGTAAGCTGCCGACGCCATAGGCACTAATGCAACCCCATACCATCAGAGATGCAGGCGTTTGAACTGTGCGCTCCTAACAAGCCGGATGGTCCCTCTCCTCTTGAGTCCGCAGGACATGGCGTCCATGGTTTTCAAAAAGAATTTCAAATTTTGATTTATCTGACTACAGAACAGTTCAGACTACAGTCCATTTTAAATGAGCTTTGGCCCAAAGAAGATAGCGGTGTTTCTGGATCGTGCTGACATACGGCTTCTTCTTTGCATGATACAGCTTTAACTTGCATTTGTGGATTGCACAGCAAACTGTGTTCACAAACAATGTTTTCTGGAAGTGTTCCTGAGCCCATGCGATGATTTCCTGTACAGAATCATGCCTGTTTTTAATGCAGTGCCGCCTGAGGGCCCGAAGATCATGAGCATCCAATATTGACTGTCAGCCTTGTCCTTTGCGTACAGGGATTTCTCCAGATATGGGTCTATGAGATTTGCAAGTCACCGTATTCTGTTTTTATTTACTTTTTAGGAATGGGAGTTGTATTTAAACAGTTTATATCAAGTGGTATGATAAACACATTTTTAATTCACATTATAGAAAATACCCCATCTTAATGAGTAGTATGAGCAGAAGTCATAATTACTCAAACACTTTACTGCTCATTATACAAGTATATGTGCCTGTTTTAGAATAATTCAAATAATCATGGTATGCAGTTCCCTGCGAAATGTTCTTTCAGAAATTGGTTGTGAAGGACCTGCGTTGACTTTTTAGGAGCAATTCTTGCCTGGAAGCGAAGCAATTTTTATTCACAAGCTGTGAAACACACCAGCGGTCCGTGTCTGTCAGTTTCGACTTTCAACCACAATTCTATGAGAATTTCCTGTAGGTTGAGATTTTTGCGACTGCTGAAAGACCCGTGCGACCATACGCTTCGATACACCTGCAAAGTCAGCTACTTCCTTCACAATATGATCTTTGGCACGCCACAATGCAATCACTTCTTTTTGCCAATCATTAACATTTGCTTTGTGACCCATTTTCCACACATCGAACGAGACATTCGCTGCACAGTACCACCTCTTCTCAATCTGTGAATCCTGTTGCACACCCTGCAGGTATTTATAGCCCAATCATCCTCATGCAACGCCATCTGCAGGAGCCTGAAGTTACTACCACCTCAAACATACAAGGTGACTAATTTTTTGTCCGGGGAGCTTAAAAGCTACATGCATTGCAAGCCATAAGTAATTGGACAATAACACAGTCTTGATTTGGCATTGTACGCAGACATCTGACATGAAACAATGATTTTAAAAAAAGCACAAATGTCAGCCTTAATTTTAGGATATTTGCTTCTATATAGGGTGAACCACACAAGAAAGCCACAGAGTCCGACAGGTACAAGACAAATTCTAAAATTCTCATTTAGTACTTGGCTGCAAATACTTTTGCAATGGATGACTGCCCAAAATCTTCAACCCACAGACATCACCTGATACTAGGCATCTTCTCTGATCTGCTAGGCTTGTACACCAGCCATTTCTCAGCTCAGCTTGTTTTAGGGTTTTTGCCTTCACTCTTGTCTTCAGTAAGTGAAATGGAAGCTCAGTGGGGTTCAGGACATAAGATTGACTTGGCCAGTCAAGAACATTTCACTTTTTGGCCCTGAAAATCTCCAAGGCGCTTTAGTAATATTTTTCGGGTCACTGTCCTGCTGCAAGGTGAAGCGCCATCCACTAGTTATGTTTTGAGGCATTTTGAGTGTTTCAGTGTTTCTGTACACTTCAGAATTCATCCTGCTGCTGCTGTTGGCAGGCGCACCATCAATAAAGATAACTGAACCTCTTCCACTGGCAGCCATACACAATCATGCCACAGTGCTTCCTCAGATGAGGTAGTGAAGTAGTAAGCAGCAGCTTTTTCTCATACAATTAAAGTTAAGGCTAATCTTCACCTCATCTATCTGTAAGACTTTATCCCATGGTCATTCTGTTCTTGAGGCTTAGCAGTGGGAATTTATGTTGTAGCAAATCCTATGAAGTGATGCTGGTTATTCTTCTCTTAAACATCTATATATGTCTTCCATGATCTGCTGCTGCAACTGCAAAATTCAAGCTCTTAATGTACCAAACAGCTGATTTTGACACATCTAAAATGTTTTAAATGTGTCAAAATCCACTTAGAGAGAAAACAGCAACAAGCTCCAGATGCAGATGCACATCTGGAATGAACCTATTTAATATAAAACAACAGGTCTAAGTATAAAGCTATATAGATAGCTCATTCATGAACTAATGATGCAATGGCACAGCTGGCCAAAAAACAACTGAGCAGCCAAGTTTACAAATATTTATAGGGAAATGAGATAATAATGTATACAAGAGCTGTGATTCCTATATTGTTCACCCGATACAGATCTAAATATCATTCAATTAAAGCTCCAATTCAATGTATTCATCGCTTTATTTTAAAATCCAGCATGATGGAACACAGAATGCTAATTCGAATAAATATTGCACTACTGTCCAATTATACACAGGACAGTGCAAAAGGCCACCCTTCAGTTATTGTAATGTATGGCCATTGAGTACAATTTGTTCATTTGACAGCACTTTGGGGGGGGGTCTCAACAACTAAAGACTATATCACATTTTTCAATATTTAGTGCAGCTTTATTACAGCTTCTATTCTCTTTTTCACACCTCCAAAGTTCAGTTTTAGAAGTTGGTTGCATTTTATGCTTCTCACAGTCCAAGTAAACCTTCATAATGTAAAGGTTCTTTACCAATTTAAGGGTCTATCTGAGAACTTTACAAAGATTCTTTTCGCTCACTCCCTCGCAAAAATGTTTCTCTAAAGAATCCTCTGTTAAAATGTTTTGATAAGAACCAGGAATGGTATCTTGGGAAGAGCGGAGAACACCAGCAATTTATTTACTTAATGTGCAAATTTTCTTCTTTTGTCCATTGCCTTCTTGACTGCTACACATCCTTTCAGACTCATAGTATGAGTTGTCTTCTCACAGTGGAAGGATGGACAGAAACACCTGTGGATTCTTTCAGATCTGAAGCAAGAGTGGAGCTTTATTTTCTCCTCTCTCTCAAAGATGAAAGCTGTACTGTTCATCTGATGGCCACAGTTTTGGTGTCATGCACCAGGGTCTTGTATTAATGTTAGGAGTCCCATTTTGCAATCTTTTAATCATTTTTTGAACTACAGTTTTGGAAACTCCTGTTTTTTTCCCCCACTTATTTTCCTTTGACTTTCCCCTTCCTCCCTTTATTATTAAACGCTTTTATTTTTGAAGCACTTTGAAGATCATCTCATGTCTAATCTCCTAAGAACTATCTCCTCAAAATGAATAACTTGTATTTAAAGGCTGTTAAAAATGGAAACTAAATGAATTAATGGTTTTTGACTTTTGCACAGTACTGTATGTATAAAACAGCTGTGATTCCTATATTGTTCTCCCAGTATAGATGGAAACACCTCAAAACTACAGCTGGAATTCTGCAGGGGAAAACTCAGTCATCGTTTCATTTCAAATCCAGTGCATTCACCACAGAAGCAAAACAACAAAAATTGTGTCACTGTCCAATTACTTATGAACTGCAGCTTCTGATGCTTTGAATAAGAAAATATGAGTGAAACCTTTGGCAAAGAAATATCTATTTGCAGATTAGAAATTCAGGGATCAGCCCTAATTTGAATATAGAAAAAAGGGAGAAAATGTTCTGTACTCTTGCGCTTCCTTTTCTTAGAGAGATCACTCGCATTGAATAAAAAAGGTTTCAGAAGACAGTTCCTTTATGATGCCAGGCTCTAATTTTGTTTTACATGCGATCCAAGACAGCCTTGAAGTCTTTTTCTTCCCTTGGCAGATGTACATAAAGTTCTTTTTATTTAGTGTTACAAAAGGACCCCAAACTAAAAAGCAATCAACTAAAAAATGAGAAAATAAAGATAAAGGTTTAGTGGTTTCACATTCATTAAACATTTTTGAGCACTTTATGAATTCCGGAATATATACACACATACCACACCAATAAAATAATAATGAAAAAATATCCAGTGGATTTTAATGAAGCTCTCTCTGTTAGTATTGTATAATTTCACTAGTTTTATTTTTAGAGCTCTATAAAAAAGTGCAAGTAGGTACCCTGGGCTGTGTTTCAATGAAACAGTGAGACATAAAAACAGGAAACAAGTGAAATTTATGGGACGGAAACTAAAGCGCAAATAAATTGATGCAATCTCATCAACAAAATATCAAAAGAGCAGAAACAAGCAAAAGTCCCCTTTAGGTAAGAAAAAAAACTGAAACTTGTACATACTGAAGTCTCCAGTGAGGAACAGTGCCTCGGCAGCTGGGGCCCACTCTTTAAAGACTAGGCTGTTGTCTGGCTGGCGGTGTGCACCAAAGCTCCTGTAGCTGCGTGTGAACTGATCAAAGCCTCCCTCGGCCTCCTCCAGGAGCGAGAGCTGCTTCTGGAACAAGCGATATCTTCCAAGCAAAGACAAGAAGAGAGATACACATCAATAAACAAGGATCGACTAGGACAAAACCTCACTATTCTCACCTTGAACGCAAGAAGGGCCCTGTAAATATTGTGAAAAATTAATCCGGTTGATGTCCCCAGGCTTCAAGCAGCAAAACACATCAGTGAAAGTTGGATTATCGAATGCCAGGATGCTAAGGGTGGCATACAGAAAATCAAAAGGCCGCTGGCAGATATTGGAGGAAAACAACACTCACTGATCCTCTCTGGCGTTCCAAAGCCCAGAATACGTAATTAACAAGCTAACTCAGTTAAGTGTTACGTTCACCATGTACTGAGAACTTTAGTATTCACCTGTTCTGAAATTTGACAACACAACAGCACAGGAGATACACGCTATAGTCCCACCACACCTTTAGACAGGACGCAGCAAAAACGCTGCAGGAACTGGAAAAAAATAACAACAATAACAACCTCTGAATCATCAGAATACTTCAAACTAAGGTAGAACACGATATTGGGCCTCAGTCAAACAGCAACTTTTGGGTTTATATTTATTTCCAAACAAGCAACTTTATGTTTCAGAAGCAGACTGTGGCAGTGAAAGAAACATAAATCACCCCCAACACACCAGAGCAGATCCTTTCAGCTAAAGCCCAGTGCTTCTCAAATAAGTAAATAAAGAAATAAACTATCGAGTGCTTTCCACCTCCATTACCAACCGTTATAAATCAGACTGCCTTGTTTAAGAGCCAAATAAACAGCCATTTGGATATTACCAAATGTCATATACCAGAATTACTTTTACTAGTGCTCTAAATCTACCAACGCTACTTTCAATAACTATACTAATAATTTATTATTATTATTTTTTTTTATATATATAAGCACATTCACCCATTCTCTTGATCTTGTGTATACTCTACTATTCAAAAGCTTGGACTCAATGAGTGTGCTTATGATAACTGCAGAAAATCAGGTTGTCAGTAATTCGTTCATGTTTACATAATCAGATAATAGGAAAACTCCAGACCTACATGAGTCAGGCAATTATCAGATTTCTGTTTTGCAACCCGCCAATAAACTTACAGAATAAGATGTGACATAAATGTAATGTAAAACTCCAACATCATGCCGTGGCAGAGCGTCTCTGGTGCCTCGAGTATCAGATAGTACCAAGAGTAATCACAGCATGTAGGAAGCCTCATAGAAAAGCATGTACACATCAAGCTCAAGCTCATTTTACACTCTACTAACACACATTTAGTTAAAATAAACTTTTAACACCATTTACTGAATTTATTAGCTAATGTATTTAGTAATGCATTAGTTCATTTTTTCGTTTGGTATCAGTTAACTAACTCTTCATAAACTCACTGTTTTCCAGCTACAAGGTATGGGGAGAAATATGATGTGGCTGGGCTGCTTATGTTAGCTGAGGTAAAAACAGATGATTAGCATTTGTCCGTTTGCCTTAAAGACTTTAGACTGACACGTTTCTCTGTATAAATTTCAAGCCGCATGTACCAGATTATGGACAGTAACCATGCAAACCACACTCAACAGGAAGTTTATCATTATATCATGTAATTCAGCAGCAGTTGTACATACATTATATCTAATAAATTACTATATTTAATGATAAAAAGCTAAAATATTTAAAAAAACCCTTCAAGATTTAGTTCTCAACAGTACAATTTGTACTATACTGATGATTCTGGACAGTTCTTTCGATAACTGCGATATATGTCAGCCTTGAAAACAGAAAGACTGCTCAGTTTCCCACTGTGGACAAACAAATGAAGTAATAAATCTCTCCCTTTCCTATCTGACCCTTGGACATGAACCAGCATATGATCCTCAAAGTCATGGCCATTATAAGAAATTCAGAGGCTGCGGATTGGACGGAGGACTTGCTTAGTGGCGCCCCATAAAGTAGTGTTATTCTCGGCATGTCCACCGGCTTGTGTCCCAGATGATTAGAGTCTGGAGAAGACATCCAAAACTGCATCTCAATCAGTCTGTCAAGGTGACTTCATAGGAAGTTGATTTCCAGCACAGTCATTACCGTAACTCGAACGGCTGCAGAATCAAACCTTGGGCCAACCCGCTTATTAGTAATAATGAGTGCAGAACTGGAGTAGACTGTGGCCGTCCTTGATATCCATATCCTAGAAACAATGTAACAAGTCTTTCTAGTGTTTCTATACCAAAAAATCATTTCCTAATAATACGCAATAAATATTGTTTGTTTGTTTTTTTTCTTCCATAGTATTAAACTCATTAGCAAGAGCAAGCATACTGTTGTTTTTAGCCATATTGCCCAGACATTTACAATTGCTACTGTTACTGAAAGAAATTCATCCTATAAACATTCTATAAAAATGATGCTAATCAGTATTAAAGCTCTTACATGAGGCAAAAAGAGCAATGATACTTTTTACAGGTCACATTACTTAAACATATAGGTGTCACATTGAGAGTGTGTGACCTCCCAGCATCCTTGCCCTCAATTTTTCTCTTTGCTCATACTTTCAATTCCCCATTTTTAACATGCACTGTACCTTGTGTAGGCCTACTGTGATGTGTTAGCATAACATTTCAAGATATTCCTAAGGGGCTGTCACATCATACCGTGCTTCATATCTCTTTCAAAGCCAGCAGTGGAAATGCAGTGTTGCACACTGCACTGGAGAGAAATGGACAATTCAGAGATTAATTTGTTTGTTCTCAATTAAAACTTTTAAAACTGCATGCAGAACAGTACACACACAAAAATCAATTAAGTACACTTGAAAGCAAGTTATCCAATTTATGCCCCACAGCAGTGGTTAACACTGCCCCCCCCCCTTCAGCCCCCTCACATATCTGAGAACAGCTCAGCACACCACAAGCACAGGCACAAAAAGAAAATAAGTCGTTCCACTTCCTCTCTACATATTCATTAAGAATCTTGCACAACAACTGTCAATTCTGGATAATTGTGCATTTTCTCAGAACTTTCTGCACTTTTCACTTAAGTGAAAAAAGAATACCATTATATGTTGTCGCTCTCAGGACAAAACCCTGCATCTTATATACATGCAATTTATAACAGCAAACATTTTATTTTATTTTCTATACATTATCTTTTTAACTACAAATTTATGCACATTTGTGAGATCCTGCTGGTGTGGATTTCCTCCCCTTTGGTGATGTACGCAAAAGCATTTTGAGTGATAATAGCTCTGCATTTTTAGACTGCTAAATGTGCTTTTCTAATGACATGGCATATATCATGTCATTTATCATTCAGATCGTAATCATTTAATTTTAAATATTTTTGTGGGTTCTTTTTTTTTGTTTGTTTGTTTTTTACAGAATTTGAAAAGACCAGATGCCTATCACATTGTGTAAACTTACCTTGATTAATGGACTAAAAAACTATCCATAAATACTTGGAATAAAATCTTGTTACAATAATGTACATAAAAGGTTAAGAACCCTTCTCCAGCATTCTCAGCAAATATGGTTCCTTCATTTGGAACAATAGTGGAACGCTTTTTGGTGCAACACAGAAGCATTTGTAAAACTTTCTTTAAATAAACTTAACCAACATCTCAGTCATTGAGAATAACAATTTCACCAGGCAAAGAACCATTAAAGCATTCAAGTGTAGCAATTTAGTTCACTAACAACTGTAACAACATTAGCAACTGTAACTATGCCCACAATACCTCTGAAAAACGTTACAGTAAGCCGCAGCATATTTGTAAATCTGAAAATTTACCCGATTTCCCAAGAGACTGGTGGAAAGAGTGAATTGTTACTATTTCCCAAACCGAAGACACTAGAGGAGATGTGCAAGTTCTCAGTTAATGTGTGGAAGAACGCATTACCACACTAGAAAAGAGAATTTCCAGAAAAAGAATTGTTAAACCAAATATTGTTGCCATTGAAGCACTGCTATTGTGAGTGAGTTAACAGGCAGCTAATGCTGGAGTAGCCAGCCAACAGGACTCCCTAAATACCAGGGAGTATTTCACACACTGACCTTTATGAAAGAACCCTTGAAGAACCTGTTCCTGAAGCGTGTAGCACCAAGACTGGTTCAATGGTTCAACTGGTTTACAATAGTTCACTATCTGAGGCTGAACCCAGTGAAAAAAAGAAAAACAAACATGACTCTGTTCATGAATAGATTTGTAGGCATGTTATTAGCATGACATTAAAGGTGGTTTTAGTCAATGGCCTAATTGCATTTAGTCACTTCTTTTGGGATCAGTAAGTTTCACCCCACCACTTCTGGAGGCGCGTCACCACCCCTGATATGCTAATCATTTAAACTATATTTACTTGAAAATAGTACAAAACAACATATCAAATGTTGAAACTGAGAAATTTTATTGTTTTTCAAAAAAATTATGCCCATTTTCAATTTTATGCCAGTACTATCTTTTAAAAAAGCTGGGACAGGGGCAATCTCCAATCTGGAGAAATTTCTGTAAAACATAAGGCTGTAAACCAGCATTGGATGGTTGTGATCTTCAGGACCTCAGGCACCACCGCATTAAAAACCAACACGATTCTGTAGTGAAAAATCACTGCATGGGCTCAGCAACACTTCCAAAAACCACTGTCTGTGAACACAGTTCGTAGAAGTATCCATAAATACAAGTTAACACTTTACCATGCAAAGAAGAAACCATATATAAACAGGACTGAGAAACCCCGCCGCCATCTCTGGGCCTGAACTCATTTAGGATGGACTGAAACAAAGTAGAAAAGTGTCCTGTGGTCCCAACAAATCAAAATTTGAAATTCTTTTTGGAAATCATGTGAAGGCACCATTAATGCTGATCGATATATATAGAGGTTTTAGAGCAACAAATGCTGCCATCCTGATAGTGTCTTCTTCAGGGAAGGCCTTGGTTATTTAAGTAAGACAATGCCAAACCACATTCTGCACGTATTACAACACCATGGCTCTGTAGTAAAAGAGTCCAAGTGCTAAACTGGCCTGCCT